TTTTATTTGATTTGGCTAATCTTGAAAAATGTTGGTACAACTAGTTGTTAGTTAGTATATTAAAATTAATATTTAAAATAAAATGGTTGATGTTGATTTGATATAAAAGAAAGAGAGATAAAGATTTGAAGTGATAGTCAATTAAAATTCTGTGAGTGAATGAATAGTGAATTAAAGTTGATGTGGTGTGTAAGAGTGATTGATTAATTGATATTATTTAATTATATTTATAATATTCATAACAATGATGCTGAGTTAAAAAATGTCGTTGAGTTAAAAAATGTTGGGATTTATTTATTTATTTTGAGATGTTTTGGGCGTGTTTGTGAAAGAATTTACCCAAACCAAAATAATTTATACTCATAATCTAATTCAATCCTACCATCATCAATATTATCAATATAATAAAATAATACCAACAAATCATTAAATAATGACAACCAATCATTTTTACCCATCATATCCCCCTATATATAATTCCCGAATGCGCTGAGCCTATGTGGTTGCTTCTGGTGTTTCGGAATCCTACTTGGCGAAGAATCATGCTTCGTAATTAGGTTTGGACAAATAATATTGATATATTAATAATTAATAATCTAGGTTCGGACATTCCACAAATCTATATCTATCTAATGGACCAATCTATTTTACTATATTTATAACAAATTTTACCGCCTAAATATTTCAGCTAAATTTGGCAATTACTATTAGACATTCATTTATTACATAAAACCATAATTGGTTAGTTCATTAAAGAATTTGAGAATATTTGATCCTATTATTGTTTGAATTAAATTGCGGTTTCAAAGATTCATGAAAATAAATCAATTATTTTAATAATAATATACTAAAAGATATAAATGTATTAGTACGACTCTAAAGATATTTAAACTAATTATTGATTGAAGTAAAATTTAGTCTCAAAGATTGTCAAGATAAATTAATTATTTAATATTATACTCAAAGATATAAATGTATTAGTACAAGTAGAGATGTTAAACGGTCCTTGGCCCGACGGGCCGACCAGTTTAGCCCTGAAAAAAATAGGGTTAGGGCTTTTTATTGGAAGCCTGTTTAAATTAGGGCTTTTTAGGCCCAGACCGTTTAAACCGAAGCCCGTTATGGCTAGCCCGAAACCCACTAGGGCTGGCCCGTTTAACTTGAGTTGGGCGTTGTAAATGTTCGCAGCAAGTAAGTAATATGCTCTTAGATTCATTGTATATTACAATTTTGCTATTCCACTTCACATGTAAGTATGAGCTGTAACGGTCTAACGGATTGTAATGATTTTGAAAGATAATTATTAACAATATTCTTATTGTACTCTACACCAAAATATTTAAGTCAATCAGAACGACTAATAGGAAATACATGAGATAAAGACTTAACACATGAAACATAGTGATAGAATTTATAATGATATAATATCGTAAAAATTTCCAAAGCGTACAAAATAAGTAGTAAAATGGTAATTGAAAATAATAATTTGATTTTTTTTTCTTTTGAAAAAAAAAATATGTTTTTTAAGAGTTTGTAGTGTGTGTTCATATATGATGTGTAGTTGTATATATAGAGTGGTAAATACCAAATAGCCGTTAAAAACAATCGTTAATTAGTCGTTGTAATTTTTATAATTTTTTATTTATATTTTTCAAGGTTTTAAATAACGGGCTAAAACGTTTATGGCACTGTAGCTATAGCGGAGATTTAGCGGGATTTAGCGGCTAAATTGCACATGAATACAAATAGCGGCACGCTGCCAAAAAAAGTTATTTCTCAAATAGCGGCAACTTTAGCGAGCTATTTATTTCCTTGATATTTTTTATTTTTTTGATACATTATTATTATTATTATTATTATTATTATTATTATTATTATTATTATTATTATTATTATTATTATTATTATTATTATTATTATTATTATAGCCCGCATAGCTCGTTTAGCCTGAAGCCCGCCAGAGTTAGGGTTAGGTCCTTTTATTGGTAGTCCGTTTAAATCTGGGCTTTTTAGGCCCGGACCGTTTAACCCGAACCCGCTAAGGCTAGCCCGTTTAACATCTCTAAGTACAAGTTTTGTTTTGACGATTGGGAAATATAAAAAAAAAACAAAAATCAACAATAATATATAAACAAACACACACACACACAAACACGCATACACACTTAAATAGAAAGATTGATTGATTAGATATATTTTGAATAAGGCCAATAATACCAATTTCATAGCAATTTTGTTGACATAATTTAATAAATAAAAAAATTACTCATTATAATTGTAAAAAATATTTTGATTAGTTTTGTTATCATCTCATGGATGTCGATATGAATTATGATCATCAATAAAAAAACACTTAATTTATATAATAAAATAATAAAAATGATTATGGTTGAATTATATTAGATGAATGAATAATTTAAAATATTAATAAACTTTTATAAAATATAGTCAACTTAACCATGAATAATCTAAAATCTAGTGAATATATATTAATAAGTTATTTTTTATGGTCGGGTAAAATTAAGAATCTATATCTATGTAATAGACCAATCCATTTTACTATATATGTAACAAATTTTTCCGACTAAATATTTCAGCTAAGTTTGGCAATTACTATTAAGCATTCATTTATTACATAAAACCATAATTGGTTAGGTCATTAACGAATTTGAGAATATTTGAACCAATTATTGTTTGAATTAAAATTTGGTCTCAAAGATTCATGAAAATAAATTAACTATTTTAATAATAATATACTAAAAGATATAAATGTATTAGTACGACTCTGAAGATATTTAAACTAATTATTGCTTGAAGTAAAATTTTGTCTCAAAGATTGTGAAGATAAATTAATTATTTAATAATATACTCAAAGATATAAATGTATTAGTACAAGTTTTGTTTTGACGATTGGGTAAATATAAAAAAACAAAAATCAACAGTAATATAAACACACACACACACACACACACAAACACAGACACACTTAAATAGAATGATTGATTGATTAGATATATTTTGAATAAGACCAATAATACCAATTTCACAATAATTTTGCTGACATAATTTAATAAAAAAAAAATTACTCATTATAATTGTAAAAAATATTTTGATTAGTTTTGTTATCATCTCATGGATGTAGATATGAATTATGATCATCAATAAAAAACACTTAAAATATATAATAAAATAATGAAAATGATTATGTTTGAATTATATTAGATGAATGAATAATTTAAAATATTAATAAACTTTTATAAAATATAGTCAACTTAACCATGAATAATCTAAAATCTAATGAATACATATTAATAAGTTATTTTTTTATGATCGGTTAAAATTAAGAATTATAATTTTCTCATTAAAATATCTATATACATCAAAAACACTATTCAAGGTGTCAAAAAATATAAATATTTACCATGAAAAATTTGTGTTGCATAAGAGATAAAAGTTACTAAAAATTAAAAGTTAATTATCATAAGTAAGTATTTGTAGCAATTAGAGTGATTATAAATAAAATTTAATTTTATAGATTAAACATTGGTCAGTTATCGAGCAATATGCAAAATATGAATTGCTAAAAAAATTATAAGATTAATATAATCGATAATTATATAAGTACATGCAACTAATTGGTATACTATCATTATATTTTAAATCTTACACTTTTATAATATTTTATAAATTATTAACTAATTAAGTTCATACCTACAAAAATAAATTAGAAAAATAAAAAATAAGATATTTAAATAAATATTATATTATTATAAACTTGATATGTTGTTTCTGATAGAATTGACATATTATCTTAAATAATTTAATAAGAAAATTATATTGTATCCCGTGCATCGCACGGGTAGCAACACTAGTATTATTTAGCTAACTTGGGTATTTTATTATCACTTATACAGTTATACTAATACAACCGTTTAATTCTTTGTAATTTTACATAATAAGACACTAAGTGACTAATATATCCTTGACTTTTGATTTGTTTCCTTCAATTAGCTATTAATTATAAATGTATTTTAAAAGTTGATAACTTTTGTATTTCTTATCGGTTTTACATATATAATATATCAAATTAATCATCTTTTCATGATCTTCGATTTGACATCTATATTGTATATATAAAATAAATAAATTATATTTGTCATTATAATAATAAAAAATAATAATATTTATTAAAATTTATTAGAAAAATAAAATTATTTTCAGTTGATATATTTATGTTTAATGTAGTTATGTTGTAAGTTAAAAAAATTATAATAATATAACACAAATAAGTCACACAAATAAGAAGTGTCATACTAAATATATAATAATATATATTTTAATAAAAGGTATTTAAATTTTCAACTACTTTTTCTCATTAGTTTTAGATTTTAAGGAAAAAATTAGCAAACATCCGTGTATTACACGGGCGTTGTAGTAGTTAACTTTAATTCACTACTCATCAACTCACATTATTTAACTAAGCATCGGTTCATATCATCTCACTCTTACTTTTACATGAAAACAACTTTAATTATTTTTTTTTTAAATATTATTTTAATATACTCTCAAAATCCCACTAACAAGTAACTATACTTTTTTTTTTTACTAAATTCACCGTAGTAAACTAAAAAAACTCACTTTAAATTAATCTGATTGAATTTATCTTTTTTACAAACACACCTGTTCTATAACTTTTTCATATATGTATGTATAAGTGATAAATAAAATAGGAAAATGTTACGGTCTCGTTGGTACCATCCCGTCAGGTGCTTTAACCATTAGATCATCTATCTTATCTAAGTACATGTAGATCCAACGATTAAAACACCCGACGGACGGATGGTGCCGTAATAGGACCGTAGTATTTCACATTAAAATAATGTGTACGATATTCATTATTCAGTTCAATAAGTTTCCAACGTTGGGGCATTGATAAAAACGTGTATAGACTGAGGCGGAGTGCGGATCAGCAAGAGGAAATCGATGATCACAAGCTTCAAATGGAACCATCTCTAGTGCAAACCACTCCTTCAGTTGATGAAGATGATGATGATGATGATGAGTGGGGTATTTTTCTCGCACTTAGTTTTACTAGATTATTTTTCATTCATTTTCGATTTCGTTGCTGTTCTGTAATAACCTAATTGTTGAACTGTTTCGGTGTGTGCTTGTAATTGTTGATCGGAGATAGGTTTGTGTGATTTATGATCTTCGACACTTCTGTTTAATAGGATTGGGTTCAGTTAATTTTATCCGTATCTTAAACTTGAAAGCTATGGCGTAATTTTTGTTGCTGAAGCCAGCTGATTTCTTATAGCTTTACTGTATAAATTCTTGTTAGTATTTCATTTGATTTTTCGATCTTCTGGGTCTGAATTAAGTGTTTGCAATGATGATTTGTATGGAAGCACTTGTAAAAATGCTATCTAAAGGCACTTACTTTGCGAGGCTTAGATTGCTGCATAAGTTCGCTCCGTGCTTAATTATGTCAAGAAGCTAAAGCAGTGTAATTTTGATGATTTATTAATTTGATTCGGCCAGCCACTGCGTTTGTAAGTGTTAATTTGATTGAGAACATTCTCAGTCGGAAGCAGGGTATTAGTTGATTAAAACTAATGCTGCATATGAACCATATTGATTATGAATCTATTCATATCTATCTTAAGTAGATAGCTGCATACTGATATATAATGAAACAAGAATACAAAATACCCAACTAATAGATTTCTATAGATAGCACTTTGAGCAATGAATGTAGCCATCCACATGATAAATGAATCTACCGACTCTTAATTTGTTTATACCAATTATTTTCTTGCTATGTCACTTCTGAGGAAAGAGTTACTTATGTGTGAATTCTGAATCACGGGGTCGGTGGCCACCTTCCTGGACCTTCTCACTATGTCCAGTGAGTATGCTCACAGTGATGTTTTGAGTACTGAATCACATTTGAGACCTTTTTGTATCATCACATAATTTGCAATTTTAACAGCCTCATTCAGCCATGGTAAAAAAAATTCCGTCTCTATGATGCTTAGCCAACTATTTGATTGGTAAATAACTAAGTGGGTTCTTGGCAAAATAGTGATAGTGGTAAGGGAAATTGGTTTGTGAACCATATTGGAGTTTAATGAGTTTGATACCCCCCGTTTTAGGAAGTATGCTTCATTTCCGAAAATGGGAAATCAAAGTGATAGTTGTGCAAAAGCAGTCATCTGTTGAATTCCATTCCCTCCTATTCTTTGAAAGCCCACAACCAAGCACCCTAAATATACAATCTTGGTCCTGGTTCAGTTGAACTTGTTTAAAGGTGCGATAGTGTTTTTTTCACGTCATGTTTATGGACCGTGATGGATTTCAGTCCTTGCATAAGTAATATCGTTTTTTTAACTTTTTTTCCAGACACTGAAGGATTTGTAATTCCAAGCTTGGGAATTGAAGACACTGACCACAATAAAACCTCTCCTGAGAAAGTAGAAGATCCTATACATTCCAAAGTTGAGGTAATAGGCGAGAATATGTCCCTTTCTAATTTTGTGGCTGAAATTGAAATAAATACTTTGCATCTTGATTTGGCAGGCTGGGAAAGAAGAGAATATATACCTTGGACCCCACGGAGCTCCTCCATCTCAAGCAAAACAGCAAGAGCTGAACCCTTTGAACCGCAAGCAGAAATTTAAGCAGAAACTTAAGGAAGCCGATAGGCGATACAGTGGGACCGGGCGGGAAAATAAGGTGGATAATTTAAGAGAGCTTGTTGGAGGTGGAAAAATGCATGTGACTCCATCTAAAAGTTCGTCCAGGGAATGGCTAGACCCGCATTGCCATGAGTCTCAATTTGAGAAAAGGAATTTTCATTAGATTCTCGGAATCTGTGCCGAAACTCATAAACTACTTCACTCATGTTTGGTTCTCTCCTTGCTTCTTGAGTTTGTTACCTCAATAATGTCAAATCTCATTTTAAATGTTTAAGGAACTTGAGAGATACACAGCGAAAAGTTCTGTCTTCTGGCAGCAGCAATTGTTCTGCTCTTGGGATTGTGTGCTGCTTTATAGTGCTAGGATTACACATTAGTTTTTATCAAGGTTCTAAAAGGCGCTCGCTAGGCTGTGGGATTGGGTCTAGGGCCTCGACCGCCTGGGCAGGGATTAGTCTGGGCCTATGCATAGTCGTAAAAATATGAATAAATTTATTTATATTTCAAATCATGCATAACGTACAAACTATATTTTATCAAATATGCTAACTAGTATGGTTAAGTATAATTTTTTTTAAAAAAATATTATATACTTATAAATATTATATAAATTTAAATGACTATTATCTTTTTAATTTTAAAATTATTGTACATTTTATGTAGAAACATCAAAATATCCTTTTATAAATTTTTTCGTACAAAAAATGTACGGGTGCTTAGGCGGTGCCTAGATTGCTTTATGCTTAGGTCGCCGCCTAGACCGTCTAATTAGTCTAGGCATGACTAGCTTCTACATTTCTAGGCACTCCCTAATTGCCCGAGTGTCAAGAAGAGTCGCCTAGGTGAAAATCGGGGCGCTTGGGGGCTGCTTAAGTGGGTGCTTAGCCCGACTTTTAGTACAGTGATTTTTATCGTTACATTACGAACTTGCTGAACTGTGTGGTTCGTAATTGACCAGTTAAGGAAATGATTCAATTTCAAATTTAGGTGATGTACATGGTGCAGTTTACATGTGTTGCTTCATATTGATGAAGTTGTTTGTAAGTTGAAAAAAAAAAAAAAAAAAATCCACAGTTCAACAATGAAAACGTTCAATACCAATAGGGAAATGTAAAGTTTCAAATAGACATAGGCCAAAATTTCATTCCGGGTCAGAACGACTGATTGGGGTCTGACTGGCGGACGGATTGGGGTCGGGTGTGCAGTGTGTGTGCATGTGTGTGGGGGTGCGGGTGGGGTGAGGTGAGGCAGGGCCCACTAGATGTGTGAGGTGCAATGTCTAATTTACCCTTGTGTGATGTATGTAAAAACTAATTTATCCTTAATAATTTTAAATGTTTTGGCTTTTTTTAGCCGTTTGATGATGACTAAGATGCATTCTTATCTCTTTCACTGAGCACTATTATCAGTTGACCCCAACCCTAAATATATGTATAAATGTGTGTGTGTGTGTGTGTGTGTGTGTGTTTTGTGTCTATCTGAAATAAAAATTAAAGTTCTGCCTAAAATTTCTACAATTACAAATTTGGTAATCTTTTTTGATAATTTTCAAAAAATTTGCCTTTAGAAACTAATTAATAAATTTTTGGTATAAAGTTGCCAAAATTAATAAGTTCGTTTTGATATAATGTGGGCGATTTTATTTGTGGTATTCGATGACCATTTTTATTTTTGGTAGGATATTTATTGCTATTAATAAATGTCTAAATTTATGGTGTAAAACAGGCAATTTAATTTTGGTATGAAATATCCAATTTTAAATGGTACGAATTTGATTTGGTATGGATAGAAGTTTATTCGAAATTTTTTAAAACAAAATAAGTTGTATAAATTTTATTTGATAAGGGTATGAAAGTCGAATTTTATGTTAATTAGTTATAAATCAAGATGATATTTTAGCATATTTCCATGATGAATTTCCATAATATAGTGATGATAATTATACAAATTGGTAAGTATTTATCTTGAAAATCAGAAAGATCTTTGAACAAGTATTGATTAATAAAATTTAAAATTTATAATTTAATTCTATAAAATTAATTAATAAAATTGAACAATAAGGTAACCGACAACAAATCTAGAAAATTAATAGATAATATATATGTGTGTTTGTATATGTGTGTGTGTGTGTGTGTGTATGTGTGTGTTTATGTAATACATATGTGAACTTATTGTATAGTCCAAATTTGTATTCCAAATTTAAATGTTAAATAAGTAATTATTCATAACTTACTGGTCAATAATAACTTGGACGTAAATGGAATAGTCAAATATTAATTTATAGTTTAATAAATTATTCGACTATTTAAATTTTTTGATTTGGATAGGTTATATAAAAATAAACTCATTTTAATTAATGAAACATATAAATTTTAGTATTATACTTATTATTCGTATAGAATTCTAAATATTATGATAAAATTGTACCAAAATAATTATTTTATGGAATCACATTGTAGTTAAATCGAAATTCTGTATAAAAATTTAAAATGACACTTATTTTGAAATGAATATAATTTAATTTATTATCAGTTACATGCACCTTACGGTTGTGTACTAATTTTAAATAAACATGTTCTATGTACTAGTACAGTACCCTTGCGATGCTCGGACCTTTATTACTTCCGTCCATTTTAAAATGCAATTTTGAATCAAAATTCAAATTATATAATTAAAGAAAAATCATGCCATTACTAATTACTAAGTATAATTAAAATAAAATCTATATATTATAGAACACTTCCTTAACAAATGATATGCATCTCTTACAAAAATCTCGAATCTCGAGAACATCAACACCGATGAGTAGGGTCAGATCCTTTGATGTGGTTATTCGAACTTCAAATAATTAAAAAATATATAGGATTAGCCGATCAAAACAAAAAAAAATGCCGAGTTATTTATTGAGTTTAATTATATTAAAATTAATGAAATACCTTTCCACTCATTCGCACGGTACATTTGGTTGATGAGGACAAAGGTTCTTGATTTTGGTAATGATGTTGAAAAGCAATCAACTGAACAACATATTGTCCCCCAAAGCTTACAGTTCTTCATGTTTTTCCTACACAATGTCGAAAAAAATTTAAAAGACAATTTCTATGTTAAAAAAAATTCAAAACAATTATTATATAATATTGATAGATCAACAATATGAATATATAATATTAAGGATTCAAACTCTAAGTCCATAAGAGAAGACGATCATTTGGGTAGGAACTCAGTTGACAATCTTTATTTGAATATATTGTATAGAAACAACCAATCCAATAATATATACAAAGATATAAGACAATTCGTTATATTAAATTGTCATAATAGATTTTATTATTTTGAATTAAATGTATAAAATTTTGAAATAAAAATAAACGAAAATTTAGAACGTAAAAAAAATATAGATTCGTCCTTTGTGAAAGGGGATGCTTGTTTATAAATTGGATCCAAAAAAATCCAATCATTTTTAACTCAACCACTTTTTTTAACTCAACTTTAACTCAACTCACTATCATCAATATAATTAATTAATATCAATCAATCAACCCACTATCATCAATATTATCAATGGGCAATGCTATATGTACACCTCCTTTTAATAAATTACACAAAGAAAAGTGCTATATGTACACCCCTTTTTTACACTTGAGGGGGTGTACATATAGACACCCCCTTATCAATATAATTGGGGGTGTCTATATGTACACCCCCTTGTGTGTAAAAAAGGGGTGTACATATAGCATTGCCCTTTGTGTAATTTATTAAAAAGGGGTGTACATATAGCATTGCCCATATAATTAAATAATATCAATCAATCATTCTTATACACAACATCAACCTTAATTTACTATTCATCTACTCACATAATTTTAACTAACCATCACATCACATCTTCTCTCTCCTACTTTTATATCAATTTAATTTTAATCATTTTATTTTAAAAATTATTTTAATATACCCACTAACAATTAACCATACTAACTTTTTCAAATTTAACCAACCCAAACCAAAAACCCAATCAAAACCAAAAAAATTTATAAACAAGCATGCTCTTAGTTTGGTCGTTAATAATGATCCTTCAAGTGCAAATTGACGATTTGTAGATGCCAATATTGCTTTCCACTTGGTAGTTTTTAAGATATAAGCGTCACCTTCTCAATTTCGTCGATGAATTGTGGAATATCGACTGGTCGGATTATACAAATAATTTATCCTCCCTAAGAAAGTACATATTCAATAATTAAATAAAAAATCATTAAAATGTAGCATAAAATGATGCATATAAATAATAATATAAGGACAAATTACCTCATAATTGTGAAATATAACCTTAAGAACGTTTCGTTAATTGCACCGTCTTCAATGCATTGTAACACTATAATAATGTGTAGCTTGATCATTGGCCTACTAGTTCTTTTATATTTTTTATTATCCCAAAAAACCAAAATCATTTTGAATGGGGATGGAAAAACTGATTCAAATATTTGTTTTGTGGGATGCATTATTTTCTGTCGATTTTTGGTTCAATGACCTCACCAATGTGGTGTTTATATAGTGATTGTGCATGTGTCATCTACCTATATTTGAATGTAAAAATAAATTATCCAAAAAAAAAAAAAATTGAAAATAGAATTTTCAGATATTTGGTAATGTAATAAAGGATTGACATTAAATTGATTTGATTTGATTTTTCTAACTTATGGGATAATGATTGAAACAAAGTTCAAATATAACACATTTTGTTACAAAAGAAAAAAAAAAAGATAGAAAATGTGAATCGATTTGGATTCTCATAACCTATAAATCTGTCAACTTTTATGGGATATAAATTGATTTGTATTTTCAAAACCAAAAAATATGTCAATTTTTAGAGATTCACATGGATTTTGTTAGGGAATAGAAAGAGGATCATTTTATGGAAGATAATTATTAACAAATATTTTTTAATGTGTATCAAGAGTTGTTTAAAAGAGTTGTATTGTGAGTCCATCACTATTACTTGAAAAAATCGTAACATGAATGCACCCAATATACATCCCAAAATTAATTCATTAAAATCCGGAGACAACATATCCCAAACAGTCAATCGTAAAAATAAAAAGATGACCAAATTCGAAAAGATTTGCATTCGGATTCTAAATAATTGGTCATCAAATAAAAAATTTATCC